AACAAAAATAATTTTTGTGTCTCTCTGCCCGCTGTTTTTAGGGTGTGTTCAAACCCCACAAAAAAAAAAAGAAGCCATAATTGTTTGAGGGAATTTTCCTCACATTGCTACTCAGCAAAATTTGGATCTGTGGCTCAGTGGGCAGTTGCAGTAGAGCAGTGTTGTCCAAACTTGGCCACTTTAAGATGAGTGGCCAGCTGGGGAATTCTGGGGGTTGAAGTCCACTCATCTTAAAGTGGCCAAGTTTGGACAACACTGCTCTACTGCAACTGCCCACTGAGCCACAGATCCAAATTTTGCTGAGTAGCAATGTGAGGAAAATTCCCTCAAACAATTATGGCTTTTTTTTTTTTTTAGTGAGTTTGCAACACACTCTAAAAGCAGTGGGCAGAAAGTCACAAATATTATTTTGGTTTTCAAAACGAGTGGGAGGCCAGGGTGCTTCTTTTCTGACACAGTGCCAACACTTTCAGCACCTCACTCATAATCACGATTCAACAGAAATTGCAATGCCAGCATGGAGAAGCATGAGAAAAACACCTGAGCTAGCCCTGAAGGTGTTGCCTAGCCGGGTAATGAAACGTTTGCAAGAAAACAACCAACCTCAGAGAACCCAAGGACTCCACAAAACACCTGATAGTTGGATTCCCTTTCAAGCTGAGCCTGACTCAAGATAACTTCACAAAGTCATTTATGCAGCTTTCTTAGAGCAATATGGAAGTGGTGTCCTGTCCTTCAAGATTTTTTTTTTTTCAAATTCAGTCCAACCCCAAGCGCTGGATTTTCCAGTGGTCTCCCACTCCAGGACTCACCAAAGCCAGCTTTTTTGAAATCAGCTGCGGCTGGCTAAATGCTGCCATTAGCTGGACCAAAAAAATAACAGTTGTCTCAAACATGAAGTAGCCCCTAATAAAAACCCCATAGTATATGCATATTAATGAGAATGGCTATTGTTTCAACCACCTTCTGTGATCAGTATGCTTTTAAACTTATTATTTAGTTGCATGGGAATTTGAGATGGGCAATGTTTCATAGTCATCCCTCAGTCTTATTCCCAGGTTGGTTTTCAAACAGAATACAGCAAGGGGAACAAAAATGTCCAGCCACAAAACCATGAAAGCAACATAAAAGAGCCAGGGGGTTGAATTTGAAATAGTTCAGAAAAAAAAATATATACAGAAGAAGTTTGTCTGGCTTCCAAAGGTGTTGAGGCCGACCTGCAGGAAATCTTTCTGGTGGGGCAGCCCCACTAAGAAGGCTGTGGCAATGAACGCTTCCTCGTGGCAACGGCGCAAATCCTCACCAACAGTGTTCGTGCAGGTATATGTGGCAGAGAGGAGATCTCTGAGCGGCTCTTGGGCTAAGCTATAAATGACTTCTTACCATCATCATCATCACCACCACCATAGTTTTTTATTAAATTTATACGCTGCCTGACTCCCAGAGTAAAGCCAGGGCGTTCACAACGCCCACCCCGGGCCAGGCTCCCGCTGCCCGGGGCTGTCCTGATGACACCCTATGCGCAAAGGACAGGAATTCCATGATTCTGTCCCTGGAACAAGCCATGATCTCATAGCCTGTGTGATGTCAGTTCTCCTGCCTGCCAGGAAAATGCGCGGGGCTCCTGAACTCCCTGCTTCCCATCCTCCACGGCAGCAGCTTTGCGTGCTAGGGCCGCTGGGAATCAGGGTTAGGCATAAGGGATTTGTGTTCTAGCCACACACGCCAAAGAGCCCGTGATGCTCCTGGCACATGCGCCATCCCCATCCCAGACCCTAAGCCCTGTGTTATATGTATTTATCTGACATCCAAGTCGCCGCAACGTTTTAGACCCAAAGGGGCTAAGCCAGGGGCCTCGTTTCTGCTTCAAGTCCAAAACATTGGGGGAACTGCAGAAAGCTGGATTCTGTTCATTTAAACCAGTTGGCTGCGTTCACACAACACACTCAACCCGGATCCTGAGTTAATCTATTTTCTGGGTTTGGGTCATACCTGAGACCGCAAAGCCACCGAGCAGGGCATATGAAGGCTAACTGGATGCCCCACCTGACCCGGCCAAGTGTGTTGTGTGAAAGCAGCAGCGGAGGAATAAACCAGGCGACAAACTTCTCTCCCCGCCTGGAAGCAAAGCATTCAACTTTCCCCGTCCCGCTTCGCGCCCATAACATCCCCAGCGTGCCTACGACCCAGTGACCACGATTCCCACGTGCTTCGCGAGACACGCGTCGCAGGGTCACGCCGGGACCAACTCACCGCTTCCTCGCTTCTGCTGCCCAAAGCGGAGCGCGCCGCAACCGCCGTAACGACCGCCTGGTTTGGGCGGAGCTTCTCGCCAGGGGGCGGGGCTTGCAGTTTTCTGTTAGTCCCGCGGTTAGTCCCGTTGCCATAGGAAAGGGGGGTCCCGCTCCCCGTGGCTAGGCAACGAACCTCGCGACCCGGGGGGGCGGGGAGAAGGCCTGCGCGTGCGCAGTCGGCAGCAGCTGCGGAGGGAGACTCGGTTCCTGGATGGGAGGAAAACGCAAAAGGCGGGAGCGAGAGTGGCGCGCATGCGCTATGCGCTTCCCCTCAATTTACCCCCCTCTCTGCCACGTGGAGAAAAAGGGCGGGAAAATGTTTTTTGTTGCTCTCTTTGCAGATTGGGGAAAAATGTGCATTTCTTTCAGTCATTTGTTCAAAACCTCTCTGATCAGAAACAAAGCCTATTTAATTATTCTATTTTAATTGTCCCTGGCTGTTATTATTTTTATTTTATTTTAATTATTATTTAAATCAATCCCTGTAGAAAGTCATTAGTAAGGAGGAAAATACCCTCACAAGCTCTCTTTAAATCAAACACCTTAATATTTCTCAAAAGAAAAATGGAGGGCGCGCTTTTCTATGCTACTGTCACAATGGTTTCTTTTTTCTTCAGTCTGAAACGGGGCCCCCGTTGTTATTTCAGCCTCCGATTTATTTAATTCCTTTTCAGTGAGCCTCAATCTCTGGCCTGCAAAATGACCACTACCAAGACATACATACATACATTTATTTATATTTCAAAATTAGATACTGCCCATCTCACAAAAAGTGACTCATTTGCCTCCGTCTGGATCCTCCATCCTTTATCTGGTTCAGCCTGGAAATTCCTGTGGAAGACTTTAACATCAACGTATAGTATTTATCTTTTTAAACTCAACCAATGTCACTGGGCTCTGGACCCTGTAAAGTTCCAAAACGTCGATGAGAAACGTGCCAGAAGTCTGTGAGAAATGTTCACCCATCCAGCAAAACCAGGGCTATCTGCAGGGTATGGTCAAAAAAGTCAATATGGCACCATGACAATGTGATCGAAGCTGTAGAAACCAGCAAAAGAGTCTAGCAAAACCAGGGTATTGTTGAAAAAGTCACGATGGCGCCGCGGTATGATCAAAGCTCTACAAACCAAACCAGAGTCTAGCAAAGCCAGGGCTGTCCACCGGGTACGGTCGCTTGCTATTTTACGGGCGGACCTTCGTTCACACCACTGCAGCCATCTTGGCTTTCTTTTATCGTACTGCAAATGGCTCCGAGCAAACCCTTTCAAAGGAGGCATCTTCACCTTCAGCCCCAGGCACCTGGCCAGGCCTGCTGGCATTTCATTCAGGTTATTTCACTCCTCCTTTTCCTGCAGATGCTCCCAAGCAAGCTTTGCTGATGGCTGGAAGCTCCCCTTGGGGGTCAAGAAGATACAACTGGGGCAGTTCGGATCCCATGAAGAGTCCCCTCTTGCAAGGAAGGGGACCTTGGCTGCCTTGGTTCCTAAATTTTAGATACGCTGTACGGCATTCATTGCTAGGGCCCAGCTTAAAATGGAGTGCCTTTTTTCCTGATGGTATCAAGCGTTGGCATTGTGGGGAAAATACATTGTGGAGTCCCTGGAGTTCTCCGAGCTTGGCTGTTTTCTTGCAAACGTTTCGTTACCCGGCTAGGTCACGTCTTCAGTGCTAGAAGGGAGTGGGGTTTGCAAACAGAGAACAAACTCCATTC